TTCATTCTCAGTAAACATTAACTTAGGAATGGCAGAAAATATAACAAATTCCTAACGAGTGCGCATTCATTCATTCATTCATCTGAACAAACTGAAAATAAATTCAAAGAATCAACTGTTACTCATTTTTTCCACACACACACACACACACACACACACACACACACACACGCACACGCACACACACACACACATACACACACACACACACACACACACACACACACACACACACACACACACACACACACGCACACACACACACACACATACACACACACACACACACACACACACACACACACACACACGCACACGCACACGCACACGCACACACACACACACACACACACACACACACACACACACACACACGCACACACACACACACACACACACACACACACACACACACACACACACACCTGTCCCTACTACGTGTTAACAATATCAAACACGTGTGTCCCAATAAGCACACCTGCGCTTGACTCACTTCATACTGTCGGTGGTGCCGGTGGCTGTGTGGACAGCACACTGGACACGTAATCCTGTGGCCCGGGTTCGATTCCCGGCACCGGCGAGAACAAAATGGGCAAAGTGCCTTTCATCCTGATGCCCCTGTTACCGAGCAGTAAATAGGTACCTAGGAGTTAAGACAGCTGTTACGGGCTTGTTCCTGGAGGTAGATATTGAGATAAGATTCCTATTTATGCATCCCTAAGGCCTGTGTAACGAGGTCCAGTGAAATCGATCCAGTGCAACCCGGTCCAGTGCAATCCGGTCCAATTTAACTAGGTTCGGTGTAATCGGATTACCAAAGCCGCTTACAAAGCCACTTTCCTCGAACACGTATATATCCAAAGGCGAATTAACGGACCGCCCACAAAACCTCCAAGGAGGGGGGGGGAGTGAGCCCCAAACCCCGGTAACCCAGTGTCAAACCCGGTAACCCCCAGTCAAACCCCGGTAACCCGGTGTCAAACCCGGTAACCCCCAGTCAAACCCCGGTAACCCAGTCTCAAAACCCCGGTAACCCAGTCTCAAACCCCGGTAACCCAGTGTCAAAACCCCGGTAACCCAGTCTCAAACCCCAGTAACCCAGTCCACACTACCTACCCTCACCTGTCTATCCGAAAGACAGTCAATGACTCTTCCCACTCGTGGTCATCTGAGCCAAACAGTCCGCACCCTTCACCAGGGAGACTGAGAAGGGGCTTCTTCACCTTAACTCCCCCCCCCCCCAACCCCCCCTTTCCCCTCAACACGTCCCCCAGAATAGGGGGGGGGGCTCTTCCCCCCTCCTATCACGTACATCCTCCCCTCTCTCTCTTTCCTCCTTTATCTGGGAGGATAACACTATCGCCGTAATGAAGGCCTTGCGCTAAATTTATTATGACGCGGATTTCCGACACTTTTTGGGGGGTATATTTTCTATGCAACAAAGTTTCTTGAAGCTGAAAAAAACGATTCACGTCTAAAGATTTTTGGGGGGCCAAGTCCAGACTTTGCCATCACTATCAAGTCCTGCATATCGTTGCCTCGGACTTGATACTATTATCGTGGACCGGAACACACATTCTTGATAACTCATTTTTTTCTTAACTTTATTTAAATCCGGATTTCACAGCGTTGGTCTTTCGTTAAAAACGTCGGGACTAAGAATAATGAACAACCCAGCGGGTTTTCTTCCTATTGGGGAGTGTTGTACATGCTGCTATGGCGGTGTGTCCACTCGCAAGAGGAGTCGCGCTGCCCAATAAACTCGCCCATCGGGGCAAAATTTAAAATTTAAAAAATAATATTTTGTTACTTGAAAATCCCTAGATGTAAATAGACATTTATTGTATTATTTTTTACAATATTAAACGTTGTAAACGACAAGCACACTCTTTTAAACCTTATGAGTATATTAGGATTATATATGAAAAAATTTGAATTCGAGAGGACTCATCAAATGTTTATGTAACCGCTTACGAAACCTGTAGATCTTTCCTTAATCATGGCGTCTTTTGTTGACATTTGTTAAGACGGTGTATGAGCTTAGACACTAAACAACCTTGTTATGCTTCTGAGAACATAAGCTGCTTAATAAATGCTGACAAACCCGCTATGATTGACGAAAGATAAACAGGTTTCAACCGCCGGGGGGTACACCTCTCGGTACATACATCCCTCAAAACAGAAGCCCGGCTGCGGGTCAGATTTGTCTTGTGATAACTTGATCGATAAGGCTGTTGTTACCAGCGGCCCGCAGAGCCACACCATCATTACTACCCAGAGGATCTGGCACCTCCTGCTGGCACTTGTCCTGGCTAGATGACGCTATGCAACATTCCTTTGTCTCTGGCCACTGTACGTCACTTCATAATTGCTTACGCCTTTCAATATGACTATTATTCATCTCAAAATTTCCTTCGACCTCAGACAACTTAGGGAAGGTGTCTTGGTTACTTGAAAGCTCTCAAACTCCTTATCTACAGCTGTGATTATTTGAAGAAAAAAGCAAGAAAAAATGCTCAATGTTACTGCTACCTCCTTGGAGACAATAACTCAAGACAAGTGTTTCTTATCCAATCAGTACCAACGGTACAATCATTCGATGTACCTGTCAATCATTCGATGTATCTGCCAATCATTCGACGACCCCAAATCAAAAAATTCAAGAAATAATTATCATTCTAAATGCATATATTTTAAATATGCATCTCTGAGCTTATTTAGTGACACTGTAAACTGTTATGCTGACAAAATGCAACCCACAACAGCCTGGGCGACAGCATTTCATTCACTTGCATCATTGGACAGTCGAGCTCAAGCCAACTCCCGCCTCGAACACCAGAATTCGAATCTCCGAAGCTCCAAGTGAATGAAAGGGAAGGTTGTCCCGGGCCGCGATGACTGTACTGGGAACGGAACTGGTACTGTTCAACGGTACTGTTCTGGTACTGGTACTGTTCAAATGTACTGGTCAACGGAAGCGTCTAAAGTTGTTGATGAACACCACACAAAGTCTTCCTACACTCTCCCCCCCCCCCAAAGTGTTCAAAGTTCTCATGTTCTTACTATAACAGTTCGAACCGTCATCACGGTTCCTGTGGAGTTGCTCATTTGATATATTACGTTATTGTGATTTATGTCTGAATTACCATTCGTTACTATTGTAATTATTTATGTTGTCAGTCCTTATCGCTGTCATTCATTATTTATTTATTTATGTATTACGGCAATTAAGCGTCCTCTTCTAACATCCGTGTAGCTGCTGTAGTCAATCAATCACTGTATAAAACAGGACAAAATCCGAACACTCACATAAACTGTTCTAACATGTTAAACTAGTGTTTTTATTATTATTAAACTCTCTTTACTTTGTTCCATTGAAGGCACCTGTGATTTTATATCACTTAATTCATTTCATGCAGGAAAATTAGCATGAATAAAGTGCCATGCAAAAATTTATATAGTCCACAAGTGCTCCACATGACTGACTGACTAGTCCACAAGTGCTCCACATGACTGACTGACTAGTCCACAAGTGCTCCACATGACTGACTGACTAGTCCACAAGTGCTCCACATGACTGACTGACTAGTCCACAAGTGCTCCACATGACTGACTGACTAGTCCACAAGTGCTCCACATGACTGACTGACTAGTCCACAAGTGCTCACTTTCTACAAGTTCCCACAAAGATGACAAAATGAAAGTGTGTTTCCCCCCTCAGAAGCAATAACAATTCTTATCAACCGTTTGACACCGCCTGCCAGCATCACTTGACACCGCCTGCCAGCATCACTTGACACCGCCTGCCAGCATCACTTGACACCGCCTGCCAGCATCACTTGACACCGCCTGCCATCACCACTTGACACCGCCTGCCAGCATCACTTGACACCGCCTGCCAGCATCACTTGACACCGCCTGCCAGCATCGCTTGACACACACTTATCTCCCCAGAGGCATCGCTGTACGACAATTTCACAGCATGGTGTACGAGCATCGCATCTCAACCAGAGTTCCCAAACACTTGCCATAACTCCCCCTCCTCAGTTACACAACATCGCCACCTGTTCTACTGACGATAACTTGTCAGTTATCATCAGTTATCGTCTTGAAACCATAACTTGTATAACTGGTAATATCACTATGCTTTGATAAGCATTCCTTGCTCCTTGGGATTCATGCATTGTTCCCTGAAAATCATTCACTATAATTCCTTGAAATTATTCACTATATTCACAGGGAATCATTCACTATTCCCTGGAAATCCCTCACTATATTCCCTAAGAATCACTCACTATATTCCCTGGGAATCATTTACTATTCCTTGAGAATTATTCACTATTATTTGGTGGTATTTACTACTAATGTCATTCACCATTATTATTATTATTGTTTATTACGTAACTAGAGCTCTGAGCCCAGCGCTAAGACGTCCTTCACTATTGTTTTACACCATTCACTATTCAATGACGACATTCACTTTTTATTTACATTACTATTCCCCGAGATTATTCACTATTCCCTGACGCCATTCACTATAGTGAAGCCATTTGCAACTCCATAACAATATTCATCTCTGTTGAATTATTCACGACTACTCAATGCCACTTGCTGTTCCTCGATAATAACTTTATTAAATATTCATTAGTCCTGGACGTTATTCATTGTTATTCAAATGATTTGACCTCAATCACCATTTTTCTACCTCAAAACCACTTCAGTTACCGATGCCTTGGTGAAAGAAAATAACGATTTACACGCACTCAAGAGGGGGGACTAATACAATGTTCCATCACTAACACAATATCATTAATACTTAAGTTTCTTTGCTCGACAAGTGTTCGTACCGCCACTAGATAAGTTGGTTTCTCGATTGCCTCGCATAACACGACGTAAACACTACAACACTTTGGTAATCAATCGATAGTATGATCACTAGGAGTACGAGGGGACACTGGTAAGGAGGCGTCGAAGGTGGTGTAGTGAGGGGAGACTTGGACCTCTGAGGGGTGTTTACGCTTGCTCTCTTGCGGGCGGTCCACAGCGTTATGAAGCAGAAACGCGGTTCGTTCTCTCTCACCCCCTCTGGCACCGCTCACTCTCTGTGGCACCTCTCTCTCTCTCTCTCCCTCTCTCACTCCGTGGCACCGCTCTCTCTCTCCTCTCGTCTCTTTCACTCTGGCACGGCGCGTCTTGTTCTAACTTGGTGCCCTATTTCCTCCACCCTGTGTTTCCCAGCACGGCTGCATCTGTGTGTGTGTGTGTGTGTGTGTGTGTGTGTGTGTGTGTGTGTGTGTGTGTGTGTGTGTGTGTGTGTGTGTGTGTGGGCGTGTGTGTGTGTGTGTGGGCGTGTTTGCAACGACCAAAGCTCTGGAGACATTTCCCGGATGTACCCCCAGAGCATCCGGCCGCCCCTCTAGCGGCTGGTGTTGTGTGCACACAAATAGATGATGTACCCGCCCTGGAACTAATGGTCATGACGGAAAATGTCATCGGCAACTCTCGTTATACCCGATCAAACCGCGCCCGGTCTAACCGGGTGTACAAATGCACGAAAACACCCACCCACCCACCCACCCACCCACACACACCCACACCCACACACGGCACAAACTTAAGTAGAAGAGTGCACGCGCGCGCACACACACCCCACCCACCTAGCGCGACCTGGGCACTCACTTTAATTCAATATCCCGTCAGGTGGGCCTCAGGCGCTGGGAGTAATCCAATCTGTTAATCATCATATGAGTGAAAATGATGTGCATGTCCGTTATCATGCAAACATTTGGGGGGAGAGATGGGGGTGTGTGGGGGGGGAAGGAAGGGGGGGGGATAGGGGGTTTGGGGGGGGGGGGGTTAGGGAGAAGATGAACGAGAACATGCGCGCTGTTTACGTTCCGATTGCGCGCGCAGGCGCCTGCTTGAGGCTACACACAACACATAACTTATGCAGTCATGGGAGCAGAAAATCCTTCCACACTCTCCACTCCTTACAGGTAGATTCTTTTACAAGGGGAGGGGACGGAGTTGGGGGGGGGGTAACGTTACAGCGCTGTCTTCTGTGGTATTACATAGACATGACCCTTCTGTACCCCTCATAGTGTTACCTAACCGCCCCCCTCCACCCAGACACACACACACACACCACCCCCACACAACCCCACCCACTCACCACATACACATCATCTAAAGCTTTCTTTCACTAATACCACTACTCTTCACAGTAATGCGGAGTACTTGACCCTCGCTCACGTATTTTGTGTTCCCTATACACCCGGGAATATACACAGATACTACTCGTGTTCTCTATACACCTGGGTGTATACACAGATACTCCTCGTGTTCCCTATACACCTGGGAGTATACCCAGATGACCAATCCACCAAATGTTCTTCATTCCTAAAACACACACTACCTAAAACACATTCCTAAAACACACACACGATTAGGATATTGCAAGGCAATTTCCTAATCAATTCCCATAGTCTCTTACCCTCTCTCTCCTTATCACCCCTCCCCCCCTCCCTACCTCTCACCCCCTCTCTCTTCTCTCACCCCCTCCGCCCCCCCCCCCCCCCCCCCCTCACTCCTCACCGACAAGTGATTACCATTTCTTTCCACTCAAACATTCACACTCTCCGCCCACCGTTTAGTACACTCTAATACTGCTTCTTCCACATACTCTATTTTACACGTTGGGTACCTGGCTGCATACCTACTGCATATGTTGTATATATACATATGTATATGTATAGAGGGTATATGTATGCCCTCTTGTGCAGACGAGGAGTCACAATAACGTGGCTGAAATATGTTGACCAAACCACCCACTAGAAAGTAAAGGGACGACGACGTTTCGGTCCGTCCTGGACCATTCTCAGGTCGATTGTCCTCTTAATGCCATCTTAATAACCTTTTACCCTCCTTCGACTGGTAGGGTAAAGATGAACACGGTGTTCGTGTTCTTCCAATTTTGTGTTCTGTCCCTATTTATGTCCCCACCGGTATATCCTATTATGTCCATCCTGTGGCCCAATTCACGTAAGTGATTTTTTTAATAAAAATCTTAAGCATTAATTATATATATATATATATATATATATATATATATATATATATATATATATATATATATATATATATATATATATATATATATATATATATATATATATATATATTATACACACACACACTATGGTCCTCATCGTTACTATAAGGACTACCAAAACAGAAGGGATGGGCTGTATAATAATAATGCCCAAAAATGGGTAACTATAGGTCTGAAAAACCTTATATGTAAAAAGAAAGCTTGGTACAAAAGGATTAAGAATGAGGCAGTCAATCAAGAACAAGAATATCAAACTGGTTAGATATGTCAAAAGAAATTGAATTAATGAAAGCAAATATAAACTGTGAAGTTCGTATAGCAGGCAAAGGACAGATCCTAAAGGGCTCTTTTCAGTTATATCGAACAACCATTAGGGAAAGAGACAGGTACATTAAAAGCCGAGACAGGACGGATAACTGGAGATGACACGAAATGAGTAGTGCAGTGCAACCTCGATTCAACGAACGGTCCGGAACCAAATTTAATTCACTCCTGTGACGGATTCGTTGCAGCCGGAAATGCCTCCACCACGCTCTATGGATTAATTTTACATAACAAAAAATTTCCTTTCAACTTATAATAAACAACTACCAAACGAACACATCTGCAAAAAATTATTTAACCACATCTAGCTCATTTCTCACGTCCTCAGCCTCAAACCTCTTTGACAAAAAAGCACATACCTGAGTGAAAGAAAATCTTGCCAACTTAAAATGAAAACAAACCATAGAATTTGGGTATAAATATTCTCAATAGATTTCCCAGGGCTCTAACTGTTTCTTGTAATGTTGAGCCCCATCTTCAAAAATCATCAAAAACTTAATTGGAGCCACATTAAGAAAGTTACCATTCATAGCCTAATATTTCCCGCGCGCTGTGGGCTGATTTCCCTGGATAAAAATTGCAATTTCAACCAGTCGTATAAGGGACAACTATCAAGAGAACCTGTCTGTAGAGAGTATTAACTACATCTCGCATATTTCCCACACCATGGCCTTGAAACCTCACATTCAAAGGAAAAAAGCCCCCATATTTCTGGACGAAAATTGAGGAATCTCAGTAGAATTTGGTTGAAAATATGATCAATGGCTTTCCCAAGACCCCTTACTATTCCTTAAAATGCTCCACCATCTACCAAAATCATTAAAAAATATCACTTGAGTCATATTAAGAGTAACCATTAAAAAAAATCCCAACCGCACAACAAAAAAGTGTCAAAACGCCATTCGCAAACGCAAAATCCACCATTGACCGTGTTGCTTCCCGCGTGAAGCGACCTGCTCCTAGTAGGCTAGCGTGGAGGTGCGTCACACCAGCCCGCCTCCTCCCACTTTAATATGACCGCCTCCCACAGTCAGGGCGTTCCTAGTGCGACTATTGCTTGGTGACTCCTACCATCTCTTCCCTCCCACGGTCACTGCTAGAGTCTCCCACGGCAATATTTCCATCGTGGTCACATTCCTCGAGTCACACGCATCTTCGGCGGCATTTGCTTCGCCAAGGTCTACGCCAAATGGGTCTCCTTCAATCGAGGCATGCATGAAACTACCACAAGGCCCGCCTGGAACTACCACAAGGCCCGCCTGGAACTACCACAAGGCCCACCTGGAACTACCACAAGGCCCGCCTGGAACTACCACAAGGCCCGCCTGGAACTACCCAAGTCCAGCCTGGAACTACACAAGGCCCGCCTGGAACTACACAAGGCCCGCCTGGAACAAGGACTCACCTGATGCAGAAGCCTGCCGGGGAACTCCTCGGTGTCGTCAGGTGAGGGGGACGTCATGCCGGCCCCACGCACCGACTGCAACCACACACAAAAGTAAATTAGTTAAAAAAAATCAAAAAGTAATTTTAACCTTAAATCATGTGTGTTACGGAGGACGGCTACTGATAGAGCCAAGCTACACAACACAAAGAAAATCTGTCTATTTAGGTAATTATATATGAACACAGAGTCCTAATTGCTGAATAGTTAATACTCAGAATAAATTCTTTTCCCAAGTTACAGTGTGGCTTTCTATACAGACCGACAAACGATGTAAAGGAAGCATCATTTAAGTAATTCTCAAGTTGTAGAGTGGTTGTAGATTACAGGGGGGGGGCTATGATTAATGTGCAACTGGACAGTTATTCCTGTTACATGCTGGCAAATCTGAAGACTAAATATGCTAACACCATTACTTGTGTATGAACCTGTACATCCGGATTTATGTGGCTACCTGAAGCTCCTTGAGGAGATATACGGAGGTTTGTACCCAGAGCCGTGTGAGATATTCAGCTTCTCGGGAGCTCGTCAACACGCAGGCATGATATCTGTCAGCCAGCAGATATCATGCCGATAGCACACTTTTGAGCAAGTTACGAGGATGTATTCAACAACAGGAGAGAGGATGAAGTAATTGCAAAGTTCTAGGGTACCTGACACCGGAAGGTCCAGAGGTTCTAATATGACAGGACATGCAGGCAATGAGTTACAATAACGTGGCTAAAGTAAGTTAACCAGACCACACACTAGAAGGTGAAGGGACTACGACGTTTCGGTCCGTCCTGGACCATTCTCAAGTCGATTCAGTCGACTTGAGAATCACATCCCTTCTCAAGCGACTTGAGAATGGTCCAGGACATACCGAAACGTCGTCGTCCCTTCACCTTCTAGTGTGTGGTCTGGTCAAAATGACAGGACACGCAATGATAAGTGCTTGTTATTCAGTTCATATTTGCAGAGTTTCTACGTAGAGTGCTCAGATTTGGGAGGTACGTCACCTGATTACCACAGGTACTCGTACACCAACCTCAGTCTCTCAATTCCTATATCATATAGTCTCGCGGAAATCAAGTACTGGACGAATATATAAATATAGGAGTCGGCTCTAAACAAATCATAATTTTTTGTACATTAGTTATTTCAATCACACG